CCGCTAATAAATCTCTGTCGTGGCCAGCCTACAATTAGCGGCTGCTCAGAGGCAGTAGTGGGCTGGGCGTCCTCCCCCCCCCCCCCCCTCTCCTGGGTCGCTCCTCCCCCGCTCCTTGTCTACAGGACGATTTCCGGGACCTTGTGTCGGACCTCAGCCTCGGCGTCCGTTGAGGCCATCCGCGCGCCACGTGTCACAACAGCTACCCATGTGGCGCAGAGCGGGCTCAAACAGTATGGGACCGCAGTCAGACAACTGAAACGCATAGCTGTAAAGAAAGGAACGGAGATCGTTCATGAGTCGAGCGAGGCGGTGCAGTAGGTGGGAGCTGCCAGTGAAAGAAATGCTGCTTCCAGCTGAGTCTCTCCGCGGGGTCCTTCATAACTGATATATTTGTCGCCGCACAAATGTTTTGAAATAATGGAATAAAGGAAATGTTGAAGGTCTCCATGATGTAGTTAATGAGTACCGACCACGGCACAACCAAGCCAATGCGCTCTCATGTCGGCATGAGGTAAGAGCCACCTTTTTTAATAGATCTCTTTTTAAGAAAAGGCTGCGACTGGGCACACAGCAAGGGAAATCCAGCCCAACACAACCTGTGCCGCTTCCGTACTACAGAAGAAATGAGTTCGTACCTCAAAATGTACGAACTGTCAGCCCTTGTGCGTCATTGGAGGTTACAGAAAGCCTAGCTGGTAGGAGGTCTGAAAGACCCAGCCAGACGCGCGGCCAGCGTCCAGAAACATTGTACGAAATAACACAGACTTTTTCCCACCCCTGCCAGTTAACAAGTCAGCAACACTATTGTTAGTTAAGATGGAACGCATGCCATAGTAGCTCAAAGACGCATGAGTAAGACACTGGATACAGCGTTTTTAGATAATAATCCGTTTTATTGGCAAACCCCCTTCGCTACAAACCTACAACTATTTTCGGAACATACCAAAAATATTCGCGGAAAATCAGAAAGCATTACGTGCAACGTATTTACATGGTGTCAGGGGTAAAACGTGTTACGGGTTTAGAGTATCTGCTTTACCTCTGTCACTACATGACACAGTGCCAGGAGTGTTCGATACAATCGGGCAGCCAGCGGGTTTAGAGTATCTGCTCTACCTCTGTCACTACATGACACAGTGCCAGGAGTGTTCGATACAATCGGGCAGCCAGCGGGTTTAGAGTATCTGCTCTACCTCTGTCACTACATGACACAGTGCCAGGAGTGTTCGATACAATCGGGCAGCCAGCGTCCCTCTCATGCACTGCTTATTTAACGCATCCTTCTGTTTTCAGACACGTGAGTTGTGAGGAGATTTCCAGTTGTAAATATGAAGAAATAAGGCTGCCTCCAGGCGGAGCCGCTCAGTCTATAGATTGCTACCAGCCGTTGTTTGCGTGGCATGCTGGAAGGTAGCGTTTAACAGTGAAGAGAGGTCACACAAATAACGCTTTGTGCAGACTGGACGTACCTTTCTGTGCACAATGTATCGATAATGATGCTAAAAGCGTCGTCACAACCGTCCTCTGCCATCGCTCATTGTCGTGGCTTTGAATACATTTCCCAACATTTAGCACACATTTCGAAATAAGCAATACACTGCAACGATTGCAAGCCAGCAAGGGCTATGGGACCACCTCGCTGCAGTAGCCAACTACCGCTCATGTTTCTCTGCGTCGTCGCGCTACTTTCTGTCGGTGTGCCGGCGCGCTGCCTGTCGCTCCTCTGTCGGTGTGCCGGCGCGCTGCCTGTCGCTCCCTGCCGGTGTGTCGGCGCGCTGCCTGTCGCTCCTCTGTCGGTGCGTCGGCGCGCTGCCTGTCGCTCCTCTGTCGCTGCGTCGGCGCGCTGCCTGTCGCTCCTCTGTCTGTGTGTCGGCGCGCTGCCTGTCGCTCCTCTGTCGGTGTGTCGGCGCGCTGCCTGTCGCTCCTCTGTCGGTGTGTCGGCGCGCTGCCTGTCGCTCTTCTGTCGGTGCGTCGGCGCGCTGCCTGTCGCTCTTCTGTCGGTGTGTCGGCGCGCTGCCTGTCGCTCCTCTGTCGGTGTGTCGGCGCGCTGCCTGTCGCTCCTCTGTCGGTGTGTCGGCGCGCTGCCTGTCGCTCCTCTGTCGGTGCGTCGGCGCGCTGCCTGTCGCTCCTCTGTTCGGTGCGTCGGCGGGCCGACTGCCACGTGCGGGGGGTTGCCGCGTCTGCCCGATAACGAGCGTGTAATGGGCGTCGGCCGTCTCTCAGACCGTGCCGCCCGCCGCCGCTGACCGCCCGCCGCCCGCTAACTCAGCCGGCCGCTACAGCTCCGCCGAGCGGGTAATGAAAGAGTCGCCGCCCGCCGCCGCTGACCGCCCGCCGCCCGCTAACTCGGCCGGCCGCCACAGCTCCGCCGAGCGGATGATGAAAGAGTCGCCGCCCGTCGCTCGCCGATAAATCAGCGCCGCCGCGGTCAGGGCGGCGACGGGTCGGTGCAGGCGGGAACCCCCCGGCCGGTCCGCTGCCGCCCCTGGACCCTGGAGCTCCGGCTGGTGCTCCGGCTGGTGCTGCTGGCATGCCATCTCGGACCCGTCAACTTATCCGAAAAGCGCCAGTCATCCTAGGAGGGGTGATGACCCTCATGCAGTTTATGTTGTTCATTGTGGGAACTGTCCATGCTTTTCAGAGTGTTCCAGTCTGGTTTTGGAACATGTGTGCATAGGCGTCGTTTCGCAAATTGAGTTGAGGGGGTGAACCGTGAACCGGCTGAACCGCGAAAATATGAAACTTACCCCCATTATTTGGCAAGAAACGGGTTTATCCTTGATTTGGCCCATCTTTCTTTCAAAGTTGTAGGATGGAGCTCAAGTCTGTGGGGGGGGGGGGGGAAGGGGAGGGGGCTGAAGTCCTCCGGTTCAACTGAAGAGAAACATTACATCTCTGCTGGCACGGTTTTGATGCACGTTGCACGTTAATAGTTCACTTAAAGCTAATGTAACGCAAATCGCTTTTGACGAAAGTCCTACCGCTGGGTTACAGCGACACCAGGGGACATGAGACGGTCAGGGGCATCACATTTACTGGGAAGGGACTGGACGTTTCCGAGACAACGAGGTGGTCGGACTCAGGACTGCCGGCTGGTGCCACCAGTAGTAAGAATGGCACGGGATTTTAGTACGTCTACGATGCGGCTAGAGTGGCGAGTTTGATGAGCCGGGGATGGTCAGCAGGTCCTTAGCAGGGACTAAGTAGCTGCCGAAACAGTGCGGCTCAGTGGTCGCTCACCTGCACGTAGGCTATCATACCGTGTGGATGCAAGCCATGCCGATGCAGTGCGACAGCAGCATTCTGCAATTCATCATTTTAACGATCACACTCACGATCGTTGCATTATCACGCAAGGGTGCCCAGCGACTGCCGGTCTTAGCGAGGGGGACCATTGAGACCACCTTCATCTTAACAGCGGAGCAATCGCTTGCCCAGTTTGACCACTGTCGGCTGATCAAGACATCCCGCCGGCGGGCACTGGGTGCAAGGATGGCCCGGACTTGGATAACAATATAGCAGCTCGCAATTACTGGACAGCCACAGCCGTGGTTAGTTACTGCCGCCTGCTGGTCCCACCTGCCGTGATGGCCACCATTGCAGACCACAAACGGCTGCGGGGCCCGACCGGCTGCGCCGCACACCCACAGGCCCGTTCCCACGCCAACGGCAGATTACGTCATTGCCTGTGGGAACTTCCTCTTCGCCGACGTACGTCCGGGTCGGTGATTGACAAGGCAGGTGCTGTATAGCCGTCCGCGCCTCACACTGCGCTGCTCTGCTACGTTACGCTACGCTGGTGCAGTGTGGTCAAGTAGCCCCGGCGTCCGTCTTACCTTTCGGCGTAGCGGATAGCAGTAGGCCGTGTGTAACTACAGGCGACGTGCTTATAAATCGGAGGGCATCCTGCCGAGACCATAACTCGTGCCGTCCTATCGTTACATCCGGTAGGCGTAAATACGTCGTGCTGCGGTGGGGCGCCTCCCCAGCTTCCCACCGTAAAATGACGCGTGCGAGCACGGACGGGTCTCCGACCCTCCTTTAGTGGTGGCACCCCACGATGGTTCCCGTGCCCATAAACGGAATAGGCTTGCGTTGAATTAGAGCCAGGTTAAAATCGCCTACCGCTAATAGAGCTCGGCTCCCGCCGACAGGCAGTCTGCTCCTGTCACGCCATGAACCCGACCGGCGCTGGTGCGGCTCGGCCTGTCTGGCCCAGCGCGTGGGCCGGGGCCAGCGCATGGGCCCGGAGACAAGTGGGCTCGCCGGGCCAGTGCATGGGCCCGGAGACAAGTGGGCTCGCCGGGCCAGCGCGTGGGCCCGGAGACAAGTGGGCTCGCCGGGCCAGCGCATGGGCCCGGAGACAAGTGGGCTCGCCGGGCCAGCGCATGGGCTCGGAGACAAGTGGGCTCGCCGCCATTTATGGCGCTGCTGGCAGGCGCAGCGCAGCCCCCCCCCCCCCCCCCCCCCCCCCCCCGACACCCAACTGTGGCCGCATGTCTCAGGCTGATTTTGAGAGGAACGGCGTGTCAGTTATTCCCGGACGTGTCCTCCGAATGACGCTGGGCTTCTGAACGAGAGGCAGGCTGATGTGGGCCGTACACCTCACACGCTCCTGTCATCTCCAACAAGATGTAACCTCTCTGGTGACCGCCTCCCGTCATCACCATCCCGCCAGCAAGTTCAGCGCAACACACTTGATACGAACCCGGGGGCACACAGAGCGTCCCTCAGGAATCTGGCGTCCAGATTTTGCAACGGAAAGAACATAGGATCAAAGGTCAGAACGACCTTTGGTTCGACGACCTTCAGCCAGCAGAATGCCAGTGTGATCTGCGTGTACCGAGCGAATAGATGACTCAGGTGAAAAACAATAGTGTATAGCATCTCTGACATAAACGCTACGAAATGCATACTCAGGGCGCCCGCGCAGAACATTTGAACATCACTACCTCCTCTCTTCTGGTGCATTGTGCCGTCATTTTGAAAAGCGGCAATCTACTCGGGATTCATTTACTTATAAAAAGCACGACATGGCATAAGACAATCGCGGAACCAACTTCGCGGAAACCACGAAAATGCAGCTAAAGACCGTTCCAATGGCAACAACTTGTGCGGCATAACGTTCAACTAGTTCTGAATGACGTGAATACCCCCATTTCTGCGTCCCCGCCCGGATCATTTGCAGAAGTGTGACCGCGGCCTTGCGACATTTACCCTTTGGGGTCGATCAGCAGGCGTATCACAGCACCAGCCGGCCCAAGGTAACAAGACAGTCGGGCGGCTGGTCTTCACTCAACACCACGTCAGCCGGGACTCAGGGCTGGCCTTCAGTGGGCGCGGACCCCTTCGGACCAGTCCCGTGCGCCAGGCGACAGAGCCGCCAGTCTGCCCGTCACACAAGGACAGTCTGTCCGTCAGACGAGGGCCCAGTCTGTCATCTCAGATGACGCCACTGTCGGCCCACTGCGCTAGCTCCGTCGGCACGGCGCCCGGCCTCTTCACCACCTCGTCCACTTGCTGCGCCGTGACGGCCAGCCAAAACAGCTGGTACTGCTGGTGGCCGCGAGAGGCGCCACCGTCGACCGGTCGGATCAGCTCCAGACACTGGGGGAGGAAGCGGCGCGGCCGCGGGGAATCAGGACACGCCCACCGGTGACCGTTAAGGGCATGCTAGTTTTACGGATCGCCATTGGCGCCCTGCAAGACTGGATACAAGTTTTGTTAAACAAGACATGACATTGGTTCCCTTACTTTAATTGGGCACTCGTATTCGCGAGCGCTGGTTTCTTTTGATCGCGAAACAAATGTAAACGTGACATACCAAGACTTACTTCCGAACAGATGAATACTGCACACAAAAAAAACTATAAAGGATTTAAGTGTCACAGTGCAGTTGAAGAAGTGAGGACGGCAGACTAATAATGCCGCTACAATTTTCATTGTTACCACCGGAGGAGCCATACAAACAACTGGGGCTTACCACACGTTACACCTTACCGACTACCAGGGTCGCTTCGACACGAACGCCTTTATAAGGGTGTCATGCGGGGTGCGGCGATGGCGTGGCAGGGGCTCAAACCCAAGACCTGTAGCTCCAAGGGCACTGCCGAGGATTTGAAAGTCACGCTCACCTGAATTCCCACCTGAATCCTGTAAAGGCTTCTTCCTTCGTACAACGACGGTAAGTCGTAAAAGAATTTTACAAAGAGTGAGATCCACATAACTAATCATTGGTATTTTCTAACGTGACTCACTTAGCTCATTTTGCAACTCAAAGGGTCCACAGTTAGTGAGCGAGCGGTTGATGATTATATGCTTATGGAGCGGGGTTGACAGCTGCTGGGTTCGGTGACCCGCGAGTGATCCAAGAGATTCACCTGAAGGTTCTCGTAGGCCTTCCGCAGTACGGGGCGCGTAAACGACTGGAAGACGGAGCGGCGGCTGGCAAACTTGCCGTACTCGCGCACCACCATCTCGAAGTTGAACGGCTCGTCGTAGACCTGCGTCATATGTCGCATGGCGACCACCTGCGGGGGAGGCCACGGCGGCCAGGCTGAGAGCGTGGGAGGCCCCTGCAGTCAAGGGAAGGGCGTGGGAGGCCCGTCGGTCCAGGCGAGAGCATGAGAAGAGGCCCCGGCACTCAGGGTGAGAGCGCGGGAGGACCCAGCGTTCAGGGACGAGCGTTGTAGGAGAGGCCCCGGCGGTCAGGGTGAGAGCGTAGGAAGAGGCCCCGGCGGTCAGGGTGATAGCGTTGTAGGGGAGGCCCCGGCGGTCAGGGTGAGGACGTAGGAAGAGGTCCCGGCGGCCAGGGTGATAGCGCTGTAGGGGAGGTCCCGACAGTCAGGGTGAGGGCGTAGGAAGAGGCCCCGGTGGTGAGGGTGATAGCGTTGTGGGGGAGGCCCCGGTGGTCAGGGTGAGGGCGTAAGAAGAGGCCCCGGCGGTGAGGGTGATAGCGTTGTAGGGGAGGCCCCGGCGGTCAGGGTGAGGACTTAGGAAGAGGCCCCGCGGTCAGGGTGATAGCGTTGTAGGGGAGGCCCCGGCGGTCGGGCTGAGGGCGTAGGAAGAGGCCCCGGCGGTCAGGGTGATAGCGTTGCGGGGGAGGTCCCGGCGGTCAGGGTGAGAGCATAGGAGGAGGTCCCGGCGGTCAGGGTGAGAGCGTGGGAGTGGATCCATCAGCACTAGACTGTCTGGTTTACGAAGCCAATGGAGAGGTCAATAATGAGTGTGTAATCCCCGCACAGCGAATGAACAAACATTTAAACAAGCTTAGCCCAGTCACCTACAGTTGTGACACGTCAGATCCCCACTCAAGCCTACGTGGAGCTCAATGCAGCTCTCACAGCACTAGAGTTCTCATATGTTACGGGTAAGCTACAGCTCGGGCACGCGGAGTCCGCAGCGTGGCCGGTGAGGCGTACCAGACAGAGCTCGAGCACAGAGAGTCCCTGCAGCAGGAGAGCGCGACTGTCGTGGCGCTGGGCCGCCAACGCCAGCGTGAAGTCGTCCGCCTGCAGCTCGGTCCGGTCCGGCCAGAGACGAAGTAGCACCAGACGCTGTCGGCAGCCACGGCACAGAATCCGTCCCGTTTCAGACTCGGACATACAACCACTGTTCCATATACACATCCCACAATACACGCTACGCACACGAAACATGTGCGCCAAGAAGTGAGCGTGGCAGACAAACGAAACATTTCTATCAGCCGTGGCGGCACCACAGAAAGCGGCTGAAGCTAAAGGAGCAGCTATTCTGCAGCGATCGGCCCGTACGGCTGCCGCCCGAGCACCAGCCGGGCGCAGTTCCGCCCGCGGCGCGCGCCACCCCAGCGCCGTCTCACCAGGTACAGCTTGAGGTCGCGGACGCTGCGGGTGCGCTCGTGCAGGCTGCGCAGCGCCGCCGCCACCGGCCGCTGCTCCAGCAGGCGGCGCACGCGGTCGTCCCAGGCGGCAGCGGCCGAGCGCCCGCCGCCGGCCGCCGCCAGAAGCAGGTAGGAGCGAACCACGGCCAGCCAGTCGGCCAGACGGCCGGCGCCGAACAGGTGCAGCTGGCGGTGCGAGAAGCGCGATTTGACGCGCTTCTCCAGGAGCTCCAGCACGTCCAGCCGGGCCGTCAGGCCCAGCACGCAGATCGGAGCCTGTCGGAGACGTGATTCACTCGGACGGCAGACGGCGGCCATAGCGCCGGCGGAACCGTCTCACCGTGCCGCTGGTAATAGGAGGTGGCTTGTGTCGACGACCGGAACGCAAATTCATGATCAATGGCCATTTCTTTGTACAGGCTGACAAGCCAGCAGCAAGTGCTGAGCTACGACGTCAAGCAGAAAAACCCAAGGTGTCAGAATGCTGAAACCGACAGTTCAATATATTCTGATTTTGCTTTAATTTACTAGATTGCCCCATGTTATGGTTTACCCATTGCAGACCACAAGGATCTATATCAGCGCAAGTTCAGACACTGCACTTTTTCCCAACGCCAAAAAATGGCGACACCCCACGGTATGTAATAGGGATCCCGGCGACAATGGGAGGAGAGGCGCCACTACTGGGACAAACCTGGGCGGACTGTGCGACGTCAAACAGGTTGTACAGCAGCGTCTGGTTCTTGTGCTGACAGAATAAGTCGAACTCTTCCAGAACAAATATCACTGTTTTCGACTCCTCTTTGCTTCCATCCCGTAACGACTGCAGGAGAAAGGCTAGGTTTTCTGAAACCACCCCAGTGCACAGCGTTAGCTCGGAAACGAGTCTGGGTGAGCGTTCGACGGACGTTTACGACATTCTAATGATTAACCACACTTTCGAACTGGCAAACATAAATCATCTCATATGGCCCATTCTATTTAAAATGTGTACGGTATCGAGAGAATTAGATCATATCTGTGTTGATGTCCGTAGCCTCGGCTTTTCTGAGCGGATTAAACATTGTGGCGACAGCTTATTTCTCAAATGGTCTTGTACGAGGGCTTTTAAAAGACAGGTGCGACAGCAAGGACGTGCAGCACCCGCATAATTTCGAAACATTTCAATACCAGTACGTGTCCCACTCTACGAAAATACACCGGCCCACGAACCGATGACAGCAACCCCGCTCCCTGTCCAGCTGCGCCGGTGAGTCCCCACCCCGCTCCCAACCCAGCGGCGCCGGTGGGCCCACACCCCGCTCCCAGCCCGGCGGCGCCGGTGAGCCCACACCCCGCTCCCTGTCCAGCTGCGCCGGTGAGCCCACACCCCGCTCCCAGCTCAGCGGCGCCGGAGAACCCACATGCCCCGACCGACCGGCGAAGCTGGCGAACACGCGGTCTCCGACGGCGGCCTGCAGCCGCAGCTGGTCGGTGATCTCCCGGATGGCGGCACGGTCGTCGGTCTGCAGCAGGCCGTGCAGCCGCACCACGGCCGAGCGGCCGTCCCGGCCGGCCGCCGACTCCGTCAGGGCGGCCTCCAGCAGCTGGCGACGACGGCAGGGGTGGTCAGCCGAACGGTCAGGCCAGCGTCAGGTCAGCGGTCAGGAGGGCGGTCAGGCGGGCGGTCAGGTGGAGATCAGGCGGGCGGTCAGACGGGCGGTCAGGCGGGCGGTCAGGCGGGCGATCAGGTGGAGATCAGGCGGACGGTCAGGCGGGCGGTCAGGTGGAGATCAGGCCGGCGGTCAGGCGGACGGTCAGGTGGAGATCAGGCCGGCGGTCAGGCGGGCGGTCAGGTGGAGATCAGGCGGGCGGTCCGGCGGGCGGTCAGGTCAGCGTCAGGTCAGCGTCAGGTCAGCGGTCAGGCGGGAGGTCAGACGGGCGGTCAAGCCAGCGCCAGGTCAGCGGTCAGGCGGACGGTCAGGTCAGCGTCAGGTCAGCGTCAGGTCAGCGTCAGGTCAGCGGTCAGGCGGACGTTCAGGCGGGCGGTCAGACGGGCGGTCAGGCCAGCGCCAGGTCAGCGGTCAGGCGGACGGTTAGGCGGGCGGTCAGGCGGGCACTGCATGACGCAGCGGCCAGGGACGGAGGAGACCCGCATAAGTACTGCAAAACCAGCAGTATCATGGGTTCAGCTATTTAACCCGAATTCCGACCAGTCATACACTCATGTCAAACAGGCAGCGTTCATCGCGATGTGGCCACACACGTCGTCACTGTGAACTCTCACAAACACTAAAAGTGCGGAGCCCACTCATGCTGCTGGGCCGATTGCATTACGTCCAGGTGGGCGCTTGGGTAGACATGTTTGCTGATGCTTATCAATGCTGTCCTCTTGACTCATCAATCGGGTGGTTCATTGTCACCTAAGGGACCCTCAGGCAGGACATGGCACATGTCAGCACATGATGCACGTGGTATGTACTGGAGGATCGATGGGCGACTGACTCACGGCCGTTTTTCCCACGCCGCGCGGCCCGACCAGCAGCACCGAGTTGCTCTCGCCAGTGCCGGCCGCGCGCGACACCAGCTCCACCAGCTGCGCCCACTGCTGCTCGTAGCAGGCGCGCAGCGCGGCCACGTCTGGAGGCGGCGCGTGGTCCTGCAGCCGACGGAGCAGCGCCGTCAGCGGCTCACCACAGCATGGCGCCGACGGAGCAGCCACCATCACCTGACAGGGGAGCAGACACTGTGAACCATGCAATGGAACAGCACCACCAGCACCACAGCATGGTGTAACCATCAACTGACCAGGGGAGCAGAGATGACACAGTGAGATGTGATGAAGCAGCACCATCAGCACTGCAGCACCCACAATGTGGCAGCTTTGGCCAGGTGTCAGGTAGCAGCAGGCAGCAACTAACTGAGATATCAGGAAGTTTGATATGATGTATTTGGGTAGTGGGCATTGCTAACTGGTTGTAATGTATTGTCAGCAAGAATGGCATTTAATGCCAGACAGTGGGAGTGGCCAGAAGATCATTTGACAGATGAGAGGATAATTGGATATGCCTGTAATGGCATGTAGCTGTGAAAGAAGCATAATCATCTGCATTTGCAGCTGATGCTGGTGACTTATGCTGTTATTTAGACATATTCAACAAAACTACAGAATATTTATATCCAGAGATAGAAGTTTACTGCAGCAATATCCAGCCCACAGGTTTGAAAACACTGTCCCCATTTGAATCATTCAGCTGGTAGCATTGGCCCTACTGGATAATGTCCACCCCATAAGCTTTGGAACTGCTGGCCCAGATCCAAAATGTTGCTGAGAAATACTTGCTGCCTAAATTCATACCTAATAAACTCACCCGCCAGCTTCATCACTGTTAATTGACAAAACCTTGCAATACATTTCTTGACATATTTTTGGCAACCTACTGAATTTTCTGCATCAGTACTGTACTGAAGTGGTCAGTGAGGTGTAATCATTATTGTTGTGTTCTGCACTTCTGCAGTTAAAATCATGCATGCTTCAGTTGTGATATTATTCTTGGCAACTTTGGCCCAAACAAATATGTGAGTTTAACCTCAGCAACCTAAAATGATCACATTATGCATGGGTTATTTGTGCATGCAGTATGTGGAAAAGTGGGCCACCTGAAGTGTTACCTGCTATTCATCTTTGCACAAACATTTAGAAACATTTACACACTATCTCACACTGAAGACACCAAACCCCACATCCACCATCTACATGGTCAAGACATTGGAAGCCTGAGCAGCCCAGGAATGTTTAAACCAATCCTCAACAAGCTCATTTAATCTTTTATAAATATAGCCTAGGCTGACAAGGTCTGGTCAATACCCATTTAACAGGCACTTTGGGGACCAGTAGTACCTTGTCACACAGTGTAATCACAACATAAGTCACTGCACAGGGGTTGACTGATTTCAAAGGACTGAAAATTTTCCTTAATGGCACAGATTCCCTGGTCAGGGTATACATTGCTGCCTCATGTTAAGAAAGAGCATTGTACATCAATAGTCATTTTTAAGGCAGAACATATTGTAATTAATAGTAAAACAGGTCATCTAAGCTCTAACCTTGGAACTTAAATAACTACGATAGCCATCTGAATGCAAAACCCAGCAACCATGACGGGGGCGCCATTTCTATGTGTGGTCGCAACATTACTGCATTATCACAACATTACTGCGTGTCAAGCATTATAAAAATGTATGAGGCCAAGGTAACAAGAATTCAATAAAATGTGTCTCTTGCGTATCCAAGCAGTCTTCCGTACTGTTTGTAGATTGGTCAACATGGTAGGGAAATTACGTTTTTGCCTGGGAATGAAAAGCAAAATGAGAATATGGCGGCTAGACAAAACTTCTTAATACGGTACATATATATGGCATGGAACATGGATGCCGATGGGACACTGGGTTGAAGAGGATGGGGTGGGGGTAAGGCTAGGTTAGTTAGGTTAGGTTAGGTTAGGTTAGGTTAGGTTAGGTTAGGCTAGTTAAGTTTATGCTATGTTCTGGACTATTCTGGCCTGTCAGTTTCATAAACGTACCTAGATGTGACGAGAAACGCTTTTCACTGCATTATTATTGTTACCTTGGTCCTGTAATCCTCTATGGTTCCTGATAAGCAGAAATATTGTTATTATGCAACAGCAATGCAGAAACGGCGCTGGGGAGTCGAGGCAGTGGGGTGTGCGGGGCACTCGAAGCTCGCTATCCTAAAGATTAAAATTTGGAGGTAGGAGCATAAATCTACCTGTTTTAAGATTATTTATTATATGTTCTGCCTTAAACACGACAAATGGTGTACAATAATTGATTCCCTCAAAGAACCAGCACAATTCTCCCTTTGCAGCCATCATTGTTTGCACAGGATTCGTCACCAAACCACGGTAATTACTTGAATGAAAACTTTAAATCAGATTGACGTCTACACCTAAAAAAAATTGAGGCAATTTTTGATCATGTTAACTTCCCGCGCAGGCTCCGCACCGCACCATACATGCACCAATGCGTACCAGAATCTGTAGAGGAAGTGCAAATCACCTCAGGCGTACCAGACGAACGGGAAATATGCCACTTGGTAAATTGGCGCCACGTTTATGTGATTTCAGGGAGCTAGCAAGGCGAGTTACATGTGGCATTCCCGGCATTCGCACCACGCAGTTTTGAAATATGCGCGCCATATCTGTACTTTTGGCGGCAAAGCTAGTCCAAAGCGCCAAAATACTGCCTTTCCCGAGACTACTAGAGCTGACAATAAACTCCGGCGGCGCCAAACTTCATGACGATGACAATGGGCCCGCAGACGTGTTTTGCCTCACTCCATTTCATCAGCTATTTGAGGAACTGGCGCAGTCCGAGGAAAGGAATCCAAGGAAACGGTGATGCAGCATATGACTCATGAGACGAGCCACTGCATCTCTGAAACTGTCATCACCAAAACTCATACATAAAATGGTGATAAGGGTACTTTCGGCGCTGGTGCACACAATCAGGGATACGATGCATTCCAAGGTTTTGTTTATTACATGCTTCAATATGGTATAACATATTTCAACAACATATAGCGCAGATGCACTTGATGTTACAATGGAACCACGAATAGTTCCAAGTCGTGCGCAGACCTTGCAAAATGGAAAATGAGAATGCTCAGAAAAGAATACCTGTATTTCTCATGTTTTCGCAGGCTTCAACGGGCATTCATTTGTCAAAGGTAGGCCCACCTTTTGTAAGGACATCTGGCCAGGTTTCATGAATTGCCGCATATCATATACATATATATATATATATATATATATATATATATATATATATATATATATATATATATATATATATATATATATACATATATGTATGTATGTATGCCTGGTGGCAATTGTTGCAACATTTGCAAGGCCATCAGTGAGAAAGGCATCTCGTCAGAACACGGACTATTACGAAATCACAAGGTCTATAAGGTGCCTAGTTACGCCGGACGAAAACGCGCTTACGAACCCAACATAAGTGACGGTAATGGATTCGCAAACCGGAGCCCACCGAAATATGACAGAACAGCACAAACGCACGCCATCTACACAATGGCACCTACGACACTGGTCACTCAAATTTAGTTGGCGCGTCTTCTGGTTTCACAAAGTTTCCGCCTTTTACGATCGTTTTGATATCCTCGGCATCAAGCGTTTCATACTTGAGCAATGCTTCGGCCACCAGCTTCAGCTCTTTGTTGTGTGTCTTCAACAGGTTCTTGGCACGATCGTAGGATTCCTGGGAAGACCAAACATTTGAATGACACTTAAATTCATTTCCAATTTATTATATTTAACTGGCAATTATTTTCCGAACTATTGAGCCGGCTTCAGACGGGAAGAATTACCATACCCGGTGGAGGACACCATTCGGTGGCCCCTACCGGGCAATGCCGTCCCGCAACGGTGCCGTTCCGAGAAGTGACATCCCATGACAATCCCACGCAACAACGGGGAGTCATTTCGTTTGTAAGCTCCCCAGACAGAAAGTGGACTAGAAGTGATTTCCAACTAAGCACGAGTAGAAACCATAACCTGCGCTCCATCGTAACAGCAGAAAAATAAGACAACATTGTATGGCATCAGTGAATCTTAGGCATGTGATACAAATGCCAGATATGTGATGAAAACATCACATCCCATACAGCCGGCTCACGTTTGGGACTTAAAGCAAAATGAGCAGCATACTACCACCGGACCGACGAATGCCACAAACACCGACACTGTACAGGGGTGCGGGGCGCGTACCCAAGGCATGTGATCGAAAGGCATGTAACCGCTTCGCATGCGGCTGCTGGGAACCACCGCTCCATTCAAGCAGGGCAACCACTCCACCCAACATCAGCACGGCTGTGCCGTCTTTCGACAGACCCTCGCCTGTGCACAGCAGCGTTCCTCCGTCCCCGGCCTGGTCGCGGACTGGAATCCCCCGCCCTATGCCCGACACGCACGTGTAGCAGGCGCTTGATCTCGCCGTCGATGAGCTGGACGGTGCTGTCGCTGACGGAGGTGGACGAGCCCAGCTCTGCGTCCGGCTGGTCGGTGATGGTGCGCAGGCCCACCCGCTCGCTCATGCCCAGCTGCTTCACCATGCTGGTGGCCAGCATCGTCGCGCGCTGTGGAGGCCGGCCGCGGCGTCAGCGTCAGCCACACGGCGGGACTGTTACCGCCGCCGCCTGAGAGCCTCACGCGCCCTGGTGTGTCAGCCACACGGCGGGACTGTTACCGCCGCCGCCTGAGAGCCTCACGCGCCCTGGTGTGTCAGCCACACGGCGGGACTGTTACCGCCGCCGCCTGAGAGCCTCACGCGCCCTGGTGTGTCAGCCACACGGCGGGACTGTTACCGCCGCCGCCTGAGAGCCCCACGCGCCCTGGTGTGTCAGCCACACGGCGGGACTGTTACCATCGCCGCCTGAGAGCCTCACGCGCCCTGGTGCCAGCCGGGACTCGCGTACATCACGCCAGCAACTGTCACGGTGTCAGGCACAACATAAATACACCAGCGCCGGCTGCCATATCACCGCCGTATCAGTGTCGAACCAGTGCTTTCGGTTAATCCGCTACAAAAGGAATACCTAGACGACAGATTAACAATAGCATACTCCGCCACACGTTGGCTCCGTGAGTTTCTGCCCGCCTGACAGCAGGTGACGTTTAACACCGGCAGGCGTCGAAGCCCGGCTGGCGAGTCACCGCCGCCGGTCGCGTCTGGCGGCCCCGGAGTCGGCCACCCACCTCCAGGTCATTGCTGGCGCCGGTGGTGATGTGGTCCGGGCCGAGGATGATCTCCTCGGCAGCACGGCCGCCCATCAGCACGTCCATCTTGGCCAGGATCTGGGCGCGCGTGCTCTGGAACTGGTCCTTGCTCGGGATCTGACTCGTCTGCGGCGGGACGACGGAGTGACGTCACATGCCAGGTGTGTGACGTCAGTAGCGCGGGCCTGATTCGAACACGCCCATGTCGGGTGGTCGCCGTCAGCGGGTTACGATACTCTGGCTGCCGCCCAGCCCAGTGTCCTGTCAGCCACCGGTCTCGTCCGTCATCAACGTGACCGCGGAGCCATGAGCGCGGCGGGATGGTGTACTGGTGTACAGGGGCAGAGCCGAGGCCGATCCGCGTCCCCGGCTCCCGCCGTGACCCGGTCAGTATGTCCGGTGCTGACCCAGCAGCCGCGGCAGACTCACGTGTCCAAGGCTCTGCGAGCGCGGCATGATGGTGACCTTGTGCACGGGGTCGGCGTGCTTGGTGAAGTGTGCCACCAGCGTGTGGCCGCCCTCGTGGTAGGCCGTCGTCAGGTTCGTCTCCTCGTCCGGGATGCGGGACTTGCGTTCGGCGCCTGCGACCCAGGGCTGGGGTCAGGGGCGAGAGGGCACGCCGCACCAGGGAGGGACCTGACACAGGACGTGGCAGCCGCGCACTCAATGACACTGACAACACCTGACTGGACGTCCACACTATCTTAGGCTCATCTCAGGCAGCCTGTCCCGACCATGCCGGTGGCTTGGTGTAAACTATGCATCGCCACTCACCAGAATCGCCTACGCCGCAATACACCGATGGGTCTGCTATGGTCACGGCGCTCCGAACCCGCCCCATCACACACTGAGCAGCTTCTCCACGTCAAACCCAGCGACAGCGGGACTCGGGGTTGTACTGTAACTGACACCCTACCCGAACGAACATTCAGCACCTGCCAGCATTTCAGCAGCTCTACCCTGGGCCCCGGCACGTACCCATGATGACCTTGTCGCGCGCCCAGTCCAGGTGTTTCATGCAGACGCTGGAGGCCTGCAGGATGGCCGCCCGCAGCGCCGCCTGGTTCACCATGTTCTCAAGGTCGGCTCCTGCGCACCGGAGACGCCGTCACAGAGATGCCACGAGATGGTGACGATACCACAGAGGACGACGACGGTGTCACGACGGCCATCCCAGGACCCAACACTGGGGGGGGGGGGGGGAGAAGTCGCAGGGAAAACCGGTGGCACAGCCAGGGTGGGGGGGGGGGCATGGCCCTGGAGGTGGTGAGGCCTCGCATGGAGCCGAGGGCCCCAATACGTTTTGGCAGCTTCAAGGCGTCCGCTGAGCTTATAAAACAAACAAAAACGGCCCTCCGGGCAATAAAATGGGACCCCAAGCCTAAGAAGTTCTCCCAGCCAAAAGCAGCCTATGTCCCAAATTTGGCTACCTCTTGGCGAAATCTCAGCTATGCCAGTGGCAAGAATACGGGACATAACAATACGACCGAAGACAGGGGAATGCCAGGCAACGTCATGAGGCCATCAAATCCCCGCATAACGTATGAATGGCCGTAAATGACTGGACAATGGCTGTAAATGACTAACGCAGCAAATGATCGCCAGCTACCGTGCACTGGAGTGCGACCAGACGACTGTGGCCCGGCCGCGGCTGGCGCCCGGTCGGCCGCCGCACCTGTAAACCCGATGGTGCCGCGCGCCAGGTTGTCCACGTCCACGTCCGTTCCCAGCGTGACCTTGTCCAGGTACAGTCGGAGGATGTCCTTGCGGCCCTGCAGGTCGGGGGCGCTCACCTGCCGAGCGGGAGTCACCGGTGTGGTTCACGGCTGAGGCGCGGCGCGGCGCGGCGCGGCGGCGGCGGTGGCGGCGCGCTGCGGCCGGTCAACGGCCAGCCGCGCACGCCGAGCAATCAGCTGGACATCGTGCTTGATGCTGTGGCTGCTAGGCCCACACACCTGTTCTGTTCATATAGTACACATATATCGTCCCACCCCTGAACCCACATTAGTCCTTGTACCTCCCTACCCGCCCTGCCAGCCAAGCTGCTCACCTGGATGCTGCCCTGGCGACTCACCTGAACCCTGCCCTCGCTGCTCACTTAGACCCTGCCCTGGCTGCTCATCTGGACCCTGCCCTAGCCGCTCACCTGGACCCTGCCCTGACTGCGCGCCTGGACCCTGCCCCAGCACCTCACCTGAACCCTGCCCTGACTCCCCACCTGAACCCTGCCCCAATCGCTCACCTGGACCCTGCCCCAGCTCCTCACCTCGACCCTGCCCCAGCAGCTCACCTAAACCCTGTCCTGGCTGCTCACCTGGACCTTGCCCTGACTGCTCACCTTGACCCTGCCCGGCTCGTCACATGAACTCTGCCCTGGCTGTTCACCTGGACCGTGCCCCAGCTGCTCACATGGGCTGCGCTCCTCGACCCTGCCCCAGCTGCTCACCTAAGCCCTGCCCTGACTACTCACCTAGACCCTGCCCTGACTGCTCACCTGGACCCTGCCCCAGCTCCTCACCTGGACCCTGCCCCAGCTGCTCACTTGGGCCGCTCACCTGGACCCTGCCCAGACTGCTCACCTGGACCTCGACGTCGAACCGGCCGGGCCGCAGCAGCGCCGCGTCCAGATGATCGCGCCGGTTGGTGGCGCCCAGCACGATAACGCCCTCGTTGCTGTGGAAGCCGTCCATCTCGGACAGCAGCTGGTTGATGGTCTGGTTGGCGTAAGGGTGGTGGCGCGAGGCGCTCCGCTTACCACCCACCGAGTCGATCTCGTCGATGAAGAGCACGCACGGCGCACGCGCCTTCGCATTCCCTGCACAGGGGAGAGGTTTGGCGACAACCGCCTCCGCGCTCCCCGCACATGGAGAGGTCTAGCGACCACCGCCGGGGACGGAAGGTGCGCACGGTTGCCGAGTGTGCGTTTGGAGACGGACGTAATTCACTGGGACTAAGGTGCATTCACTTCATTCAAATGGAACACAGTACCGCAAATTTACATCGGGACCCATGCCATGGCAACAGCCAATGAAGGATACCAGCAAAGATTCGGCAGGTGTCATCTGTCATTGTGCATACATAGGCAGGAGAACACTGACTGGCAACAATGAACGTCACCCGGGCTGTACACAAATAAAAACTGCATGCACGCTGCCCGACCGCACCATCAGGGGAGAAATCCACCGGAGGCACGCCGACTGAGACAGACGGCGAGATGCCCATAATTACGTAACATCACTACACCATTAATGATTTCACGTCCAGTCAATTATCCATAGGTGAATAGGGACCCAACGGCTACTCAACCCTAATCATTCCCTCCCCAGCTGCAGGGCGTTCCTGCCCCGTACATACTGAACAGGTCGCGGACGCGGCGGGCGCCCTGGCCGACGAAGATCTCGTCGAACTCTGATCCAGCGGCGTGGAAGAACGGCACGTCGGCCTCGCCGGCCACGGCCCGCGCTAGCAGCGTCTTGCCGGTGCCCGGCGGCCCGGCCAGCAGCACGCCCTTGGGCAGCTTGCCGCCCAGCGACGAGAAACGCTCTGGATCGCGCAGGTACGCCACGATGTCCTGTAGCTCCTGCTTGGCCTCATCCGCCTGCCGAGGATAGGGGGCTAGACGCCCGGCGGCCAGCGGCAGCAGCAGGCCGGCCGGCTGGGGGCTCCGGCTCCGGCGAGGCAGCGGTGTAACCCGTCACGAATACCGGCTCAGTCGGACATGAACACACCTGAGATCAGGACTGGTGGACGCCCTCTGCCAGCGTTGCGTCATTGCATTCAAGCAATGACGGCAATGCCAGCCTCAGCAGGCCGTGTTACCGGCTCACGCCAGTATCACCCGCTCACGCCTGTATCACAGGCTCACGCCAGTATCACCGGCTCACACCCGTATCACCCGCTCACGCCAGTATCACCGGCTCACGCCAGTATCACCGGCTCGCGCCCGTATAACCCGCTCACGGCAGTATCACCAGCTCACGCCAGTATCACCGGCTCGCGCCCGTATAACCCGCTCACGGCAGTATCACCGGCTCACGCCTGTATCACCGGCCCGCGCCCGTATAACCCGCTCACGGCAGTATCACCGGCTCACGCCTGTATCGCCGGCTCACGCCAGTATCACCAGCTCGCGCCCGTATAACCCGCTCACGGCAGTATCACCGGCTCACGCCTGTATCACCGGCTCATGCCAGTATCACCGGCTCACACCCGTATCACCCGCTCACGCCAGTATCACCGGCTCACGCCAGTATCACCGGCTCGCGCCCGTAAAACCCGCTCACGGCAGTATCACCGGCTCACCCCCGTATCACCCGCTCACACCAGTATACTCGGCTTGCAGGACCGCTGGCTTCGCAGGGAGTCAGCTTGGCTTACAGCGGGCTCGGGTCAGCGCCCTGACGGGAACTCACGCCTCTGACGTCGGCGAAAGTGACGTCCACCTCCTCCGGCATCACCTCGTTCGTGGTGAACTGCATGCGGAACATGTTGTTTCCTGGACCCGCTGTAACAGGGTGACCACAACTCGTCAGTGGCGTCAGGCCAACGTAACAACCAAACTCGACCGGCTCACAGAGTGACCAAACAACCGTCACCAGTCAATTTTACGTGCAATAACCGAGTGTGCCGGATTAACTGTCCATCCGCCCCCCCCCCCCCCCCCCCCTCTTAGTTAATAACATTCGGAAGCCTTCTCATCGTTCTTCATCATGAGGCAAACACAAAGATCAGCGCACGCTGTCGCAGACGATTCAGTGCCTGCCATGTGCAAGCACTGCACTAACGCCGCCTCGAACAGCACCACCTCGACACGCATCGATGGCCTGCTCTGAACTGTACGCCCGCCGCCCGTCGGCGCTGCCGGGGCACTGACCGACGATCACGTAGACGAGCAGCACGACGACGGCGACGCGCAGCACGTTGTAGAAGCCGTAGAGGAAGCGGCCAGTCCAGGTGGTATTGCGCCGCTGCGAGCCGCCCGACATGTATCCCTCGGCGAAGGCCAGCTTCAGCCGCTGCTGCTCGTCGGGGGATGACGACTTGTCAGCCAGCTCTGCGGATGGTCGGGGGGAGAGGTCATGTACCGCCACACCGGGTCCAGACACGGCCACACAGGAGACGACTTGTCAGCCAGATCTGTGAATGGCCGGGAAAGGGGTCATGTACCCCCACACCGGGTCCAGACACGGCCACACAGGGGACGACTCGTCGGCCAGCTCTGTGAGTGGTCGAGTGGAGGGGTCATGTACCGCCACACCGGGTCCAGACACGGCCACACAGGAGACGACTTGTCAGCCAGATCTGTGGATCTGTGGACCCGACGCGGGCCCATAAAACTACAAAACCGACACGCAGCATTGTTTTGTTGGTTTGGGGTCCGGGATTGTGCAGAAAAAGTTGGCAGTCTGTGTCCACGATTCCAAAAGCACAAACTGCAATTTTGAAAGCTCTAAAAATACTGTCAAATTCTACTTAGCGTATGTCAAACATGGTGCACAGACTACACCTGCCACTTGAAGCCGTATGACAGTTCCTGTATGGTGTAGGGCCTACAACGACCTACAAACCTACAACACCTCCAGGCCCCGCACTGCACAGAACGCGGCGCATCACCACTACCTTTCAGCTTGCTGCCTGCTGCGGCTGCGGCTTGCTGGTCAAGGCCGGGCAGGGCGGCGGCGGCTGGCAGGCGCCGGCGGCGTCGGTTCGGCGCGCCGGCTCAGCAGCAGGCTGTCGTGCAGCCTGTCGGCCAGCGAGGGCGTCCGCAGCCGCTCGGCCGCGATGGCGCGTTGCGTCTTGAAGCCGCGCCGCGGCGGCGGCGGCAGCACCGCGGCCCGCAGCAGCAGCGGCGGCCGGTGCGGCGCCGCGCCGCGCTGGTTCTCCCCGAAGGAGGCGCCCGACACGTGCGACTGGCGCCAGTGCTGGGGCAGCGGCGGCCGCGCCAGCAGCGGGCTGGTGACACGCTCGGGCCGCAGCCCGAACAGGCGCAGCTCCGTACAGTTGGCCAGCGCCTGCCGCACACGGAGCAGCGGCTAGTGGCAGCAGCGGCACACCGGGTGTGCGTGAATAGGTGTACCATTCAGTGGCACAGTGTAGTATCGTCAGGCCCAGGAGGCCCGGGCCGGCCCGTTCACCACCCACAGCTAAGGTCATGCCCCTGACACACAATCAAACACGACATCCTCTCAGCATTACTTGAAACGCCTGCTTACATTCATCATGCTTTCCTCAAGGTCCGATGTGAGGCGGGTGGAGCGCGATCCATGTTTGGACGCCCACGGCACCAGCTTGCCCGCTCCCTGCAGTGTGGTGACGGCATTGGCAACAGGCGCCGCCAGCTGCAATCGATGTGTGCGTTACACGCCAGCTAACGCCAGCCCTGACCTGTGCGCGCCCGCGGTCAGCGCTGTCGTCCATTACAGCATTTGCATGTCGTGGATGTCACACGTCTGCCACGACAAAGGCAGTGTCAGTTCAGAGTAATGTTAGTTGAATCATGTGATGTCGCAAGTAACAGGACGAGAATCGTATGCATGCTGTGAGAACGAAATGTAATATTCAAAAACGCATACTGTGCTCAGAACAAACGAAAGTGCTCGACACGCCCCACCAAAACATACACCCGTCGGAGGCTCAACGCTACCACGCCAGCTTGCCCGTCATGGAGGCACTAATCTTTACTAAACACGGGCGAGGTCGGCGCAGCCAGCAGACCCCACTCCAAAACATTTCGGCAGGACAGGATACGACGTCCCTTCTGCCGGCCCGTCAGCGGGCAGGAAGTGTCACCCTGCGATGTCCGCAGAGTGACGGCTCATCGGCACCGCGGTGGTGCGATGTGACGTCACGGCCTGGCGGCGCAGCGCTCGGATTGTCCTGTGACGTCACTGTTCTTCCCAGCACCGGTGCGCCGCCTACTGCTAGCTGCGCGCCCGTCTGGTCGGCCCGTCTCAGTCTGTTTGGCCAGCTATGGCCCAATGCTCGTTTGCTGATGCAATTTTGTTCACGATTCACTGTCATGCAGTTCTGTATCGCATGTCATGTCTTGCTTACGAGCTTGCGTCGCACAGCCCTTTGTCCTTCGATCTTTCGAATACAATCCCATTTGAGATTTTACCCGATCAACTTTCAAGCACACATGCAATGCATGCACGTCCTGCGAACTTCCGCCTGCGATCCTACGAACTTACGCCTGCGATCTCTTGTGATACGAGCTTGAACCGCACACGATCGTTTCTAACCACCTTTTGCGCATTAACTTTTCCCGTGCGAAGTTTGGTACACGAACGTACGCGTGCGATCTTTTATCATGTTATTCCTCTGTAGTACTACAGCATTTCGAGACAGTTTCGATCTTATGTCATACCTCTTGTCATTTTATCATATTGCACAGCTTTTTTAGGCTGAGACTGAAACACAGTTAAAAAGTAAAAGCCAGCTGCCCTCGGTTGCGGATTCAGCTTCACGCTTTAAACAAGGCCGCGCAAATGGCTTTGGCTTCGGCCTCGCAAATCATAACTTCAAGGCCACCAGCTTCACGTCATTGTCTTGGCGTCGGGTTGAGCTCCAAGCTAGGGGCCTTGCTTTGTCCCCATATCTCCTCTGAACCAAATCAAAGCTAATCTGAAGAAAAAATAATCCCACACATGTATCTGAGGCTTCATGAACCTAGATGCAGGGACATGGAATGACTGGTGGCAGGAGTGAAATCACATTGAGGTGCTGGTACTTGTGTGTCAAACTTATTGATTTGTTTGTGCTTTTAGAGGAGGGATAGGCTATTAAAAGGGCTAATATACCCCATCCAATTGCTAAAGCACATATTGCAATGTATCCAATCTTTCCAAAGTGCACAACATTTTAGCATTATCCTCAAATCAAAGGAAAGCATACATATCTCACCTGGAGATGCAGGGATGAAAGACTCATTGTCCTGTGGAAGAAGAGAAGCAGCATTATCAGATACACTCCACATCCTGTGGGCACTTATAAGGTGCATTTCAATGACTACCTAAAAAACCAATTGAAGCATTAATATACAACAGTCAACAGGTGTAATGGCAACAGGTCAACAAGCTTGCCAGCTTCACCCTGCACTGCAACTATCTTTGGGTGGGAAGAGACTGTCACTGCTATCTTCTCTGCCTGGCAGGGGGTGAGTGAGGTGGGTGGATGGGAATAGTACATGCCTATACTGCAAAATTTTGACTCCTGTACATGGTGCAAAACCATAAAATGTGGAAGGGTATAATTATTGAGTTGTGATGAAGTGTATGAAATTTGCCCCTTCAATTTTGATGTCACCAGATACTACAAATTGACAAAAATAGCACATATCCATGTGTTGCATATCCATTAAATACTGCTGCCAAAATTGCCTGCATCTAGGTGGCAAACATTGAAAGGCTAGATCAGTGTGGGAAAAACCTCCATTTTCTGGTGGATGTCACACCAGGAAATTTTGTACTCCAGGCTCTTGACTGGTAAGAATGACAATTGTTGTACTCCAGACAAACTACTGCAGTTGCCCCACAAAGCAGACACCATTGCAAATGTATGAGCCTGAGTATAAGTACCAAGGCAGACAGTTTTGCTGTCTTGATAGCCAGGAGGGTGCATGAACTTTGCTTTCATAAAGTGAGTTGTAACTTTTATTTGATTTCCAGGGACCAAACATATGGAGCACCAAGAAATGGAGACAAGCATCTGCAATCCTGCAGGAGCTGGCCAGTCCAGGGCGTTCATGTCAATGTCCTTCATCATTGTATTACATGGGTCAGATGCACTTGTGCAAGCCTATGCAACTCCTGAATGGTGATGACAACTCATGTGAGTTACTTCTGTGGGAATGAAATAAACTGAAATATGAAATGTGCTTGTTTTAAGTACCTACCGCTGCCACATACCTCGCATGCCATTACCTGTGGGGAAAATATATGGCGCACCTGAGTAAGTAAGACCGCATTTTCCACGACAAACACACCTACCGATACCTTTCAAGAAACGGACAAACATATCACGGCTCTGGCTCCCACTACGCGACGAACCCATCGCCTCCCGTACCCGAAACCAGCGGCAGCCCAGCCTCCTGCAACTGACGAGTGCATTTTCGAGCAGTGAAAGTCCGCGTCGCAACAGACACCTACAACAATATTCGTTCGACCAGAAATCACTAGCAGCGCCAAAATCACCGCTGGCACATCTTTTTCAACTAGGTCATTCAAAGACTCGCCGAGCAAGAAGTCCAGCATGCCAACTATGCTCTAAACTTACCTCATATTAAGATAACATGTTAGCGATTTTACCAAAGGACGTGCATCTTGCAAACAGTTTGGTGGGAAAATTCCAAAGGTTGCAGCATTGCACATCCTTTTCAAAGCGCTTGTTTCATTCCTGCTCTTGCCATACCAGCCACCAATCACCATCTAACTTGCAATTAAACTCAAAATCATAGCATTCAAACACACCACATATCGGCACTTTTGAGATAGAATCATGACATTAAATGGCACCCAAATATCACGTTCGTGGGCGGCACTTTTGGTGGTAACGGCTTCTTTTGGGTTCTTAAATGTCATCGGGAATTACGTTCCCAAAATGGGAGTTTGTGGCATGCAGCATTCCAGAACTTATTACTATTGTATAAATGATAGCACATCAACCACTTTTTCAGAAATCGGCAAATGCCGGTCTTTGAAGATTCGAGGATATCTTACTTATTTAACAACGGTATCACGTCTCCAGGCTCAACCAGTACCTATACTTGTAAGATAGAGATGGTCCATAACCCGGTGGGAAAAAATCGCAGTACTTGGTTGCCCTTCTCACAATGGGGCCTATGGGGAGACCCGGGGAGAACAAGCTGGAGTACAAGCCGGAGAACAGCAAGTTTTTAGCAAAGTTAGCCAAATTTAATTGAAAAATTTACGTGTTTTGGTATCGCCCAGATACGGGCCCTCCTCAGAGGGTGTTGAAATGGCATGATATGCCTTAGAATGAGAAATATCTATAGATTTGTAGTACAGGTACTGCATTATCTCGGCGTTGTCTTGCGCCACCAGAAGATAATATGTATTTGTAGGTGGAAAATAGCAACTTTCATTTCAGGACCGACCCGTGGTACTTGTACTTCAGTCATTTCAGGACCAACCAGTGGTACTTGTACTTGGTTGCCCATTGACGAGTGCTAGAATGCCATCACAATGTCTGTGAATGCGCCAGAACTCCTGTGCATGGTTTAGTTGTTTGTCTTGATGTGGTGGGAGTGAGGGGGGCGGAGGGTGAGTGAAGCTGCTTGGGATTATGTGCATCGTAGCTGCGAGTTTGAGGTATTCAGTGAGGCAAAGTGGAATTGGTTGTCTTCAATTTTCACACAGCATGTATCCACACCTCTAAAGTTACTTGGGATTTAGTTTTGGACCGCTATTAAGTAATTCCAAAAAAGGTAAATAAATACCAGGGGACTGATCTATAAATGTTTACCACTGCAGGCTGGTGCAGAATCACCTTGGTATAACCTGCTCTACCTACAGCATGGTGGGTAGGTATGTAGGTACTAAGGTATCTATATACAACATTAATGCTAGGCTTGGGTTTCCCATGTGGGATCAAATATGAGGCTGGCCTCTTTTCAGCCTGTGGTTATAATTGCTGTAACCTGACAGGTGGCAATGCTGCCATGTTCCTTGCTGTCAGGCATAAGGTCTTGCAGTGACAGTATTAAAATTGTCCCTACATAAGATCATAGGGAACTTGGAGAAGGGGAGAGGGATAACAGGAGGTGCAGGCAGAGAGGAGGAGCAGAAGTGGAGGAGGAGTGGAAGGAGAAAAGTGACAGAAAGAGAAGGTGAGGAGCTGAAAGAGGAGAAGAGCAGAAAGAGAAGGATAGGAAGAGGAACACTTTTGGTATGTTTATATTAATTATGTAAAGGCCAAAAGGACAACATGTTAGTGATGTCACATACATAAGGCTTTCATAAACAGTTGCATCTGCCTAAGACTCATTAAAAAACCAGGGTGTGATGCACAGTGGGTGTCCGCAATTCAGTTTGTCAGTAAGCAGAGGATGCACCTGATTTATCATTTTGATATTGTGTAAGTTTGCATGTAGATAGGTAATGATAAGTAACTGAGCTTTGTATGATGCACCTGTGAATGCATATGTATAAAGTTTTGTTGTTAACCTCTCTAACTGTATCTCTTATTAACATGAACCATTAATCGATCTTTGCATGTGTAGGTGAGCAAATAGCACTACAGGAATATGGATGGGATCAGTGTGGTGCCCTCACTCACAAGAAGTGCTCTGTTCCACAGAAATGCAAAATTGCATGCTGACACTAATTTTTGCCAGAAAAATATTGGGAGAATGTTGACCCATTAAAGGCAGTATGTGATGTACTTCAAGCAAGGCCCATTGTGCAGACACTCATTCCACATTAGACAGACCTTTGCTTGCAGGCAAGTTTGTACTCAGACCACAAAAATTTTTGTACTCTGCCACCAGCAAAAAAAAATAAATTTCCCACCCTGGGCTAGATTGTGGGACACATTTACATATTTATTTTTTGCTTTCAGCATTGGTTATTTAACATCAGGTAAATATTTTGGACATCATATATTCTAGAAGCAGTTCCAGGCATTCCAGCATACAGCAATCTATTATAGTCCAGGCCATCACACACTGCAAAGCATCTTCAGCAATGAGCTGTCTCCCACATTCCTGTGTGCTTGGATTGTATTTTTCAATACAGGAAACCACAAATAAGCAAAACATTGTTTCCAACTAATGGATTAAATGTAAATACCAATGTTCATTACTGAGCATCCCCAGCATTCCGCACATCATAATCCGCCAGCATTTAGGGCTTCAGTTTACACCTGAGAAACTTTTCCTGCAGTTTACACATCCACATGCTGAGATTCCTCTAACCTAGGACTATTTAACATCACTTAACAGACCAGCTGGAATCAAATGGCTACTCCACATGCACTGCCACAGATTGAAGCTTGGTGTGTGAAAACTATGCATTGCTGATATCAGATGGGCTAAGACAATTATTATAATTTCAGTAGCTAAGGATACTGAAATTTATTAATGGATCCACTTGATCAAAGATGGACATACTAGAGTAATTCAGCATTAATCAATGTGAACACTCTGAACAAAGCCAATACAGCATATGATGTTCTGCTATTACATAATGGTTACCTCCTTTGACCTCACACAGTCATTTAACTTGGTTATGGTAATGGTTAGGCCAGACTTAGAGGTTTTTGGGGCAATTTTCTACAACAATTTTCCAGACAGGAGCAACTCCACTGAAACTAACATGTTATCCAGAGCTTTAAAAATATTATGCATGGCATCACTACTAGAGCACCCAGGCACTCAAGGTGTGGCAAATGCCAATATTGTTGTAATTATTGTGCAGTATCTTGGGAAAACATGTGTTGCATGCTGAGCAGGACAGCACATAGATAGTTAAATATTCTAAATATCTACCTTAACAAATTTAGGCAATGTGCACATATTTCTCGTGATCAAAGAAATATGTTCCACAATGGAAAAAGTTGCCAGTTACTCCCACTGATTCACTGGTGCATTCCTGTTAAACAAGTTGGTCACACTTGCATGGTCATAACTGATGTTGGCAGCAGTATCCTGTACACATGAGTGATGATTAGTTGTTTCTCTAAAGAAAGTTACAGCAAGCGTGCCCGCAAGATGACCGACCTTATTACATAATCACACGAATGTCCGACATTGCTGGTGCAATCAGATGAATTTGAGCCCCATGCATTGGCCGCTCCAGTCTATAGCACAAATCACCAACCAAATGGACAAGAAAAACAGCATTACCTGTCGACACACAACAGTCGCGCACCGCCCCCTCCCAATTCTCCACACTTTGACAACTACCGCGAGGCGTGCGCCCCGTTCATTCTTCTCAGTCTCGTCACAGCTGCGTCGTAATAAGTGCTTTATCGCATTGCCGTGAACGCATGTCTGTTCGGAAACGCACCACGTCACGGTTTTAATCAGGACTTTGAGGTGGGCCTAAGAATGTGATTTTAGGATTCGCGTCTTCTTATCTAAATCAAGCTCTTATTTGAAAGAGGCGCTGAAAGATTTCCAAATTCCTCGGGATTATGGACCCTTACCCAGCATAGAATAGTACCTGTACCCGCACATAGAAAGCTGGCCGGTGCCGTGGTCGGATGACATTTCCCCGTTCGGAAAGTGCCTACTTGCATACGGAGGTGTCATACAGCAATGACGGATCTGAAGGTATGGTGTCTGTTGTGGCGTAATACCTACGACATCAACAAAAGCAACGTCAGGTACTGGTTTGCGACTGAAAAAGTGCGGTGGGTCCATGAACCAACCGGATATTCCAGACGACCGGAGAAAAGAGGTGGAGGGGGGCGGGCGGTTGCTCTAGTTGGCCAGCGGTGGTGCTAGACGTGTGAGTAATTTCGCATCGCGGTGGCAGACATGTGTGGTCTTTTTGACTGCCTTTTAATCTAATGATGCGTCAGGCGTGCTACAAACATTAAAAAGGGAAGTCGCGAGAAACAAGATTTTGTCACTTCCTTCGACGAAGTTCCACCCCTGTCGCCGGGCTAAAGGCAGGCTTTTTAACACACGCCCGGGTGACCGGTTGGATGACCTTCGTTCGGGTGGCGGGTTAATTTAATCCCCCTCTGAGATTTCAGAAATTAGGAGAGCTAGAGACACCACATTAACAGGGTGTGTTGACCTGTGCGTGAACGCACGTGGCTCAAAGTTTGAGGTTCCTAGGTCATGACTTTCGGGCCAAATAAGGTCAAACAAGGCAAACGTCAGGTTGCCGTTCAAGGCGCCCCCAGAAGATAGGCGCCTGATCTAAGCAAAGGGTCACATGCTCATTTAAGGTCAGAAACTTTGTTTGTCCTTTAGGTTCCGGTGAACAGAATCATACAAGACTGCTTTGAGTTTCCTCTCAGAAAGGTATGGCTCCGTCTAACACTTCGTTGCTGCATCAGATTGAACGATTCCCTGGAAATTAGTCACATGCTTGTTTAATACCAGTGACCTTGTTTGATCTTAAGGTTCCGGTGAACTGAATCATGCAAGACTGCTTTGAGCTTTCTCTCAGAGGTGTATGGCTCCGTCTAACACTTCGTTGCTGCATCAGATTGAACGATTTCCTGGAAATTGACTTCGCCGAGTCCATGGCCTGACTTTGACGCGCCGTGGGTCAGCGACCTTACAAGATATAGCTAATTTTGACATCGAACGATCTGCTTTTCAATTGTCTACAGCTGTGCAAAATATGGCGCGGCTACGCCGCGCTGTCCGGAAACCATCCCGGAAAAAAACCTTCGATGGGGTTCAAATCGACTCCTCTGCCCGAGCGCAAGTTAAGGCGAACGGGGAGCCCTCACAGCCATCAAAGAGCTGAGGCCCGAGCTTATTCAACGTGTGCCGAGCTGGAAAAATACTGAGTCCCCCCCCCCCCTCCCCTCCTACGCACACGCCCACATCCCAAGTGCGGCTCGGTCCTCTTAACTTGAGAACCGCACCACCTTGGACAACACGCTGATGCAAAACAAAGGGTGAAGTTGAAAAACAAACCACGAATAAATGTGCCACTCGATCCGGAAGCAAAAATAAACGCCGTCCAAATCGAAGATGAGTTTATTTTTTGCGACCCAGGCTCACTGGGCCAAGCTTTTTGAGAGCATACTCCTGATCCAAATTGGTACCATTTGTCACTGACCTTGCCAAGTGCCGTCACGCACCTTCCGAGGCGCTAGTTTACAATATTTATGGTTCGTACAAGTTAGTCATGGTAACCACTTTCTTCGTGAGAAGGGCAGTGAGCAACTGACACAAATGTTCCTGAGAACCACTTCAAAATATAACCAAGCTCCAGCTAATCGCTTGAAAAACACTTCTCTCGCGTAGGTACGCGCACACTGGCGTGCTCGGCGTGGCATTCAAATGAAGGGCTCGGTGTCGTGTCCAGTTATATTTCGTGACATACCGGTATGGAGAGCGACATAAGTGCCGTCTGCGGAAACTTAGGCCGCGCTGAGCCCTTGACGCCACCCTCACGTGGCGCGCACGGGTGTGCGGAAAATAAGACGTGGAGCGACTTACAAAAACGCGACCGCCAGTGCGTTGGTCTCCAGTCCGGCGAACGCTGTAAATCATACACAGCTTCCTTGCAAAAGCAGAACGCACGGGACGTGCAGCGTGGAGGCTACCCGTGCTGGCGTGGCCACCAGAACATTGGTCTTCACCCCGTTTAGCGCCGGAAATCATTCACAGCTCTTTCGCACCAGGAGGCGACGCGTCACAGAAAACTCAGACATCTGGGAACCAATTCTAGAAATGTCGTAATTGATGACGAATTGGTTGACCCTTCCAAAAACACAAAAAGGTTTTCTCCATATCAGGATAGACGAAATCTGGTCGGAGCTGATAGCAAACGAATGTTTAATGTACGTGAACAGCGATGATGCTCATGTGACAGGTCATTTCAGTGGGTTTCGGAAACGTAACACCAGTATGCTAACGATCCACGTCATTCCACGTCATTTTGCAAGTACCGCCCTGCGGAAGTTGTTTACATTGACGCAGAAGTATGCAAGCAATGCGTTAGCGGGTGTAGACGGTTTCCACAGAGAATGTCCGCCGGTCACATAGCACCAAGCATCGTCTCACACGCGCGCACACACACGCAGGCGTTCGCAACTCGCGCCAATTTGTTGGAGTCCACGAACGTTTGCAGCCCCGCGGGCCGCGCACCATCGTAGGAAACCGCGCGTAATGAATGCCGTTGCGCGCCAGTGCATACTCTGAATGCCACAGCGATGCCCCCCCCCCCCCCCCCCCGTCGTTCTGTTGCGCCCCGGCCTGGACGGCCCCCGCGTGCCGCCGGAGCCGGACACGTCAGTCTGCTCCGTCCGGCCGGAGCCGGGCCGCCGCCAGGGGGCGTCAGGTGCGACGCGAGCGGCCGTTCCCGCGCCCTCGGTCCGGCCGCTGCGCCCGGCCCTCCTCGTCCGCCTGCAACAGAACGGGACGCTTGTGGGTCACACTCACCGATAGGGCATGCCGCCCGCACAGATCGACCAGGCGCAGGTCAGGAGCACGCTCAGGAGCCACAGTCAGGGGATGGAACCGGTAGCCAAACAGACATGCTGAACACGGCAGCCAAGTGATGCACGCATTGCAACTTTAAGGGCCACCACGGATGTGCCGCAAATGATGGTGTGGCTTCGACGACTCCGTGCGCCCCAGCACTTCAGCCTGAGTCTAAACACTCGCCTTGAAGATAACGTGCAGTGAAAGGTGGGCCTGCACGACTAGAGGACATGGTGAAATGACTTCCCATACTTTATCAGGGATCAATGATAACAAGACCAGCAGTACACGTCACGCAGCGACTGCTATCGCAAGCCGGGTGGCATGTACGGCCAAACACCGGCTGCCGCAGAGAACAGACCAGCGTGCCTGCAGGACGTTTGCAATCACAAGGACAACTGTTCCAATGTCTAACTAACAAAATAGTTCGAATGCGCATCAAGCGATACACTGCAATGCGCGATCGAGTTCCCCGCCAGTCATTTGCGCACCAGCCCTCTCCGCTCCAGCGAGAGCCATCACAACGCTGGACGTTATTCTCGTCAAAAATACGAGCAATACAAGTAAAATATAAATAAACTATGAAACGTTTTAGTTTCCAACATTGTCAGATAAGGTCGTTTAAGTTGAAGAAGGAGTATCCACTCGGGAAACACGAAGCTGATCGACCACACGCCTATCCGCAGACGACTATCACCGTCATATTAAAAACTACGCCCCCCTCTGCTTTATACGGAACGCTCAATTGGCAATGGCCCTTCCTCAGGGACGACGCCTAGTGCGGCCATTCATGCATTAACCTTTACTCAAAACATTAGACGTATTTTCCTATTACCAGTGTAAGACTAGGTAGCACAGGCTTAAAGCTTTAATGGAACCACGGTCCGTATGCACACGTTATGTTACGACCCAACCTCCGCCAGAAAATGGTGACAAAACATCGAAACCTCGGCGAATGTATGGTGCGTAGCGTTCAACGAGAAAGCATGTAGCCAACAGAACCTTCACGGCTGTTATTGCTGGACCTAATTTGCTGCCTTGCCAAACTGCAGACCCCACCACCCCGGTGACACTAATGGGGCCGGACACAGCTGCAGCCCAATGGTGGGTTGTGGTACAGTAAACTACTGATGCATGGCTTCCGAGTGACCACCGTCCTCAGCCTGCCAATCCACACACGCACACGCACACGCGCACGCGCACGCACACGCACACGCACACACACACGCACACGCACACGCACACGCACACGCACACACACACACACACACACACACACACACACACACACACACACACACACACACACACACACACACACACACACACACAACAGCACGTCGGCTCCTGTAGCTTGACACGGCTACTTCGCGCTATCACGGCTACTGCGTTCATGCTCCGTGGACATGTTCTGGTCCCGTCCAACGAGTTAAAACTGACTCGTCGCATGCCTTTCCGCTATAAATGGCAAAACGTGCTCAGAGATTGGCGATTCTCTGACAAGGTGAAATGCGACCTTACACGTGCAGGTGCATCACCATGTCGTTTCAGATCATGCTGTGTGTAACATTTACCCAACAGATCGTTGGGATGTCCGTTTACAGGATATAAAGCAGGTAACGCGGGAGCCCAAACCCAGTAGGGCTCTAGTGCACTAATGCGAGTAACGTCGGTCCGAATGCGCAATAATTCGCACAACATGAGCAACCGGCAAGATTACTCTTATCATTTAGCATAGTAATACAAGCACCTATTCGGGAAGAAAATGGTCCGTCACGACTCAAGGGATTGATTGGGTCTGTCAATGGCATTTATTTCGTTTCCATTGAAAGAACCGAAGGCTGGTTCCAAAAATCGGTCTTCTCCCCCCCCCCCCCTCCCCCTCCAGAAATTCCTAATTGAAATATTGTAATTTTTACGTTACCTTGTCTGCGACCGCAACACAGTGGAGCAAAACAGGATTGCTGCTGAAGGCCAAACAGCTGGTTTTTCGCCGCCTACAGTTACAGTGACAGCTTCACAGAACTAGTGCATTATAAACAGCATGCTACTGGAAAGGCACATATCGAAATGACCGTCGGTTGGCTGCTCAGCGACGCTTCAGCCAGATTTGGCTATTACGTCAGGTTAACAACCAGTTATTTTTCATGTGGCGCGATTTAACGTGCGTCACAGTGTTCCTGACTACGTGACGTCATCCCCGACGATGGGAGCAAGCGCTGAAGACCCCCATACATCACGTCAATATGACGCACATTTCTACGCTTTCAAAGATCTGCGGGTAAATATGATTCTTTAGCCATTACCAACAAAAACTAAGTAAGCCACAACGCAACACTAACTGTGCTAGTCGTCTTTCGGAAATCAAACTCATTCCTTAGCCTCCTCACCACGCCTCTCCTAGCCCAACGTTGCTGGAAAAGGGCGTGCCCCGGACGAATTGTCCACCGGCACTCACCACACCTCAGCCACCACATCCATCAGGCTCGGCGCCGCACGGGTCCGAGTGTCCCGTGCGGCGCTGAGGTGGCCGCCGCTGGTCGGTCACCGCCCGTCACCACAGCCTCACCTTGCTAGCCTGCGGAGGCCGGCGGCCCTCCTCCTCCTCCTGGCGCTGTTCGTAGTGCACGAAGTCGTCGAAGATGGAGGTGCGGTGGCCGTACGAGTGCATGATCTTGAGCACCTGGCGGCCCTTGTCGGCCGGCACCTCCTGCGTGTCGCGCGAGTTCGTCACCGGCTTGTTCTCGTTGTTCTCCAGCCGGATGTGTCGCAGCTGCGAGTTGGGCACGTCCTTCACGTAAATCCACTTCACTTTAAACTGTCCCTTCCACTTGTCCTGCGCCCAGACGGACGACGACGCACTGAAGTCCAGCGGCGAGAGCATCTGCGCCATGCCGCAGAAGTGTCCGCTGCCGTTGACCGAGAACAGCAGGTAGATGGGGCCCTTGCCGTCGCGTTCGCGGCTGGCCGCGTCCAGCCGCTTGTTGCCGTGCTCGGTGCTGCACCAGATCTCGTACTTAATCGACCGGTGGATGTCGTCCTCGGAGTACGACTTGATCACGAAGAAGCGCGCGTTGGGCGCACTCAGGTCAAACTCCCTGGGGTTGTACTCGTTGCGGTCGCGCAGTTCGTCGAGCACGGGGTGCGAGGGCGGCGGCGGTGGTGGCGGCGGCGCGGCGGCCACCGGGGGCTGTCCGGGCGGCGGCGGGCCGCGGCCGCGCGGCGCCGACCACGCGGGCCGCACGGCCGGCGCCGCCACGCCGTTCTTCCCATCCCACACACCGATAGCGTCCCTGGCGACGCTTACGCCTACGCTTACGCCTACGCCGCCGCCGCCGCCGCCGCCGCCGCCGCCGCCGCCGCCGCCTCCGTTGCTCGCCGGACCTGGCGCCTGCCTGCTCTTGGGCAGCGAGGTGGCCCGTGCCGGCTGGCTGGCGATGCTGGCCCATGACTTCTTCTGCGGCTCGCCCGGCGGCGACTCGCCGCCGTACACCGCCTCCTTGTCCATGCTGAGCCCCTGCATGCCCTGCTCCACCTGCTTGATGGCCGGCTCGTCGGTGCCATAGGCGGCCGGGTCGCCGCGGTAGAAGTCATCGTACTTGCGGTCGACGCCGCCACCCCACGGCGAGCCGTCGCCACCGCCGCTGCCGTGAAACGGCCCGTAGTTGAAGGCCGGCTGGCCGAAGCCGGCGAACATGCCGTCCATGCCGTAGCTGTCCGGCTGGACTGGCGGCTGGCCGTAGCCGCCGACGAAGGCCAGGTGATCGCCGCCGCCGGGCCAGGCGCCGTCGCCAAACGCCTGGTACGGCGGGTAGCCGGCCGCCGCGCCGCCGTAGTAGCTCGACAGATACGGGTCGGCCGGCGCCATGCTGGACATGGCGGCGCCGTAGCCGTGCTCCTGCGGTCGCCAGGCATTGTACTGTTCGCCTGGCTGCTCTGCTATGCCACCATCCTTGGATGCATTTCCTGGGAAAGTCAAAGGGGTGCTAATAGTGTACTGGTTAAGCTGTGCATAAGGAAAACCAGATTCACAGCCTACACCCCTGCAGTAAATCCCCTGCCATTTCTGCCAAGGTGAGAGGCGGGCAATATCATATAGCTCCAGCAGATAAGTGAATCATAATGCTCCAATGATACACTGGGAAAAAAACTTGTGCAATGGGTCCAGGTTTGAAGTGGACCAGGCTGAGGGCAATGGCAAATGCACTTGGATGGAATGGATAGCAGCAATATAGTGGTTTCCTTGCATACATTAAGGAACAAAAAAGTATTTACTACCATCTGTGGTCTGCAATATTCATATCTTGCACAGCAGTATGTGGATCATTTGTGTGGACAGATTATCAAGGTCAGAAGTCATAATCATAGCAAGGACATCAAGCTTACCTTGCACCTGGAGATTCTTCCTCTGAAACAAAATCGGAAATGTTAGATAATTTCCACAGGAAAGTGTCTCAAAAAGCTGTTTGATCAGTGATAGGCATGCACTTCAAAACCAATGTTGATCAGTCCAAGCAATACATAAAGCAATGCTGAACAATCTTAAACATAATAAAGAGACTGATCCAAGCAGCATGACTAGTATGACACACTTAGGCACTCCGGATTCTCAAAACATATGCCATGATTGTTTGGAATTATGTATGTAGAAATCCATAGCATAATGTATGTTAGATATTTGAAGCAAAACTCAATGCTCAGAAAGACTGAAAGCTGGAACCCTTTCCTAGCCAGGCTTCAGAATTTTCCCATCCAAAAACATCTCAATGTTCTGTACAATCTATACCAAAGACCAAATTTCTTATGCTCTATAAATTTAACAGATATGCACAAGTTCATTTCACAGGACCTGAAGATCAGAATTCTTCATGAATCCTGGATGACATTAAGAACTGGGTGCCAACACAACAGTCTACATGTATTGAATGTTGCCAATCTGTAGTTGCAAAGCATTTCAGGGACAAAGATGAAATGCTTTTGGCTGCTTCAATGACAGATTGGCATCTGCTTAGAGTGGCACTACACCCCATCGAGATCTTGAATACCATGGTATCATCAGCAATTGTCAGATTGTCAACAGGAGCACAGCCAGGCTTTGGGGGTGGGGGAAGTGATAAATCAGGACCTTGTAGGACAACTTAAACCAACATCTTGTATCAATCCTTTACACAGAAGATGGAAAGCTAAGACAAAAGGGCTGATATTAAGTCACAAAGGGCTACTCTCATAATTTAGGTGACATTTTGCTACCGCCTCTGGTCATAACACTGATACAATGGGTATGGAATATCTACATCTTACAAAGTATTGATATTCCCTTGTCACAGAGCACCAACCTGGTCCTGCACACCGGCTGACATTCCCTATTCTAGAACCACCGATCACCAAGAAATAAATTAAGATCACACCAATGCACAACTTAATGCAATCAGACTATAGGGGTTTACTTGATCAAAATTACGGGCCGAACGCCGGCTATCTGGCGCTTCCACTGCCCGAAAAACCCTGCTCAGCGCGTGCTCAAACGCATCCTATGCACATCGCGATTCATGAGCTATTTGCGAGTTTGTGCTCCGGATTTGTCGCAAATGGATCCAGAAGAAGCAAACGCGCTATCAACAAGTAGAGCGCTACATCATCGGTAAACAACGAATCAGAGTCCAGTTACTAGCCCCTATTTGTGTCGGAGGTTTTCATTAGCAAGAAGTAAGGCTGCACGCAAAATGCACGTGCTAAACTGAACACAAGTATGCTTCATGTTCGGGCTACGTGCAGGCCCGGCGATTTTTTGCTTGCCCTGCTGCTGCTGCTATGGCAATACCACAAATGCAATTAGCTGAGAACATAGATTTGCTCGGCTGATCCGTTACGTCAACCAGATCGCGTCCACTGTTAAGAATGAAAAATGACTTAATTGCGACGGATAGGGTGTGGTAAAAGGCTGTGCGAATACACCCTCCAAAACGTAGGGCGGCTACGCGCCGGGCTTACACACCCTCCAAAACGGAGGGCGGTTACGCACCGGGCTTATACACCCTCCAAAAATCTTTCAGATTGTTGTACGTTTCAAGCACATGCGCATTGGCAGTCTTGGAGGCAAGAAAGTGCAAAAATGCAGAATCCCGTGCGATAAGTCGGTTCTATGCGTGATAAACGTCAAATGATCACTATGATATTGTAGCGAAGCGAATTACGGCAGTGTTTCAACATGTTCCGCTGCGCCGTTTGGAAATATAACCAGCTCACGAGTTGATTGCGGCGCGCCAAGCGGCGTGTATGGGATTGTGCCAGAGGACCTGTCCAGCCGGCTATGGCCTTGCAGTCGACAAACTCCTATCGCTCTTCGCTGAGCGTGTATGGAGCAAGATTAGCGACGAGGATATTAATTTTGATTTGTTATTTTCAAGCTCAATTGCCCGCCATAAGTTTAGAATCCCGCCTGAAAAGGGATGGCATTGCCTGCAGTTTGATGTGACGGATTCCGACCAGTGGCCTAAATCGCTCCGTCGGCTGGAAAGCATGTGTCTGGCGATGGAAGTAGAAGATCCTGCCCGGAAGAAGGCTACTTGCCCCATTTTGCTGGCCCTGCAGTGTTTGATCAGTGAGAAACGCTGCCACAGCCCCTGCCCGTTGCGGGAGAGGCCGCAGATTGTCCAACAAAAAAAAAGAAAAATGCCTGGCGCACGCAGTTCTGTTCATAGCCATTTCAGCTTTGTGCGGTGTTACCGCTTTTCCACGGGTTTTTAGCTATTGCTCGAGACGGTTCAAGTCCAAGATGGTAAGGGAAAAGAGAAGGAAGGTGAAGTTGACATCATGCTGCTAAAACTACTCTTATGACTGAGGGCCTTGAGTGGCTAGCAGCACAGAAATGCTCACGTAATTTAGCCTTGCTAGGCGCTTGATCGATGCAGACAGCAGGCGTCGACGGTGTTTGGTGCTATCTTTCCGCCTAAAGGTTAGATTAGTTTACATCTGGGGCAGGCTCCATGCTTCCAAAAGCCAGATGGAGGTAATATGGTTATTTTATATAGCTTTGACTTGTTCTCATTTTAATTTTTGGATTGCTCAAAATTCTTGCAGAGAATGCCTCCAAGTTTCGTTCATTAAGTTAATACCTTAAGTCCCCAGGAGTGTTTTTGCAGATGTTCCTTAAATTAGGATGCTGGTTGCCTGTCAGTTTAATTTGTGTGAGAAAGGTAGCTTAAAAATTGCTGCATGATATGACGGATGAACAAATATAGATCATTGCAGTCAGCTCGGAATGTGAACTTTTATAACGGTAGGACCGAAATTGCCCGATGATGGGGTCAAAACAGCAAGAAAGCAAATGTGAACACTGGATGAAAATAGTTGTCATCATTACTCTGCTAAATCCAAGTTTGTGTGTTCCATGTGCAGGAAAACAGTGCATAAACTAACACCTAACACGATGGCACATGCTGCATGGAGAACACGTCTGTGTTGCATATCATCACCTGTTTTTGTGCTGGTGATTAAATATGTCACCTTGGTGCTTTTTTGTGATGGGTGTCTGCAGGCCACGAGGTAGGTAATTCAACTGTTCAACAATTCTTGCAGGGAGTACCAATAGTTTCTTTCATTAGGTGAATACATAAATGCCCCAGGATTGATTTTGCAGACATTCCTCCTGTGACTTGAACATTTGGTTGACCACCTATTGGCAGGAGGGATGTGCTGGATATTGGTGACTGGCTTGTCAAGGAAATATGAAGTTACGTCACACTGGTAGACCAACTGGCAAGGAAGCGGGGGCTGGAATATTTGTTTTTGATGCAATTAGGCTGTTTGTTGCTTGTCAGTTTAATGTGTGTGAGATAGGTAACTCAATAATTCCTGCATGATGCAAAGGATCAACAAATATAGGCAATAGATCATTGCAGTCAGTGCAGAATGTGAACTATTTTTAATGATGGGACCAAAATTGCCCAGTGATGGTTCCAAAATGTCAAGAAAGCAAATGTGAGCACTGGATGAAACTAGCTGTCATCAGTACTCTGTCAAATCCAGGTTTGTGCATTTCATGTGGAAGAAAACAGTGCATAAACTAAGTAAACCTAACCTAATGCCACATGATGTGCAGAGAACATCTGCAGTGCACATCATTACCTGTTTTTGTACTGGTGAGTAAATATGTTGCCTTGGTTTTTTTTTGTGACATGTATCTTTGCAAACCATGAGGTGGATAATTGAGCTGTTGCTATAATTAATCATTTGTTATGAATTTTGAGCCAGATTGCTTTTGTCATGACAGCTCTGGGGCTGGTTCACGTTATGATCTTTGGACTGTGCGAACACGGCTGTTTGTGCCACCTAGCCATCAGTCCATATCAGCCAATGCTGTTGACTGCAAGGATATCAAAGCAGTATTTCAACCCTAGTATGTCAAGAAAGCAAATAGCTGCATTCTGACTTGCCAGTCCATGCCAAGTCTAAGTGGCAATGCTGCCCTCAGGTACTGATGATGCATTGGATGGGGAAAGACAACATAGTTACACAATTTTTGCCACTAACTATGTAGCATTCATGAGTCATTTCTGTAGCTTAGCTCACTGTTGCAGGCTGCTCATAAATGCATTGGTGCGGGATTAGGTAATGTGTTTCTTGGGCTGCGCAAAGTAGATGACATAATGCTGGGTGGCATACTGATGAGTGTGGTAAGTTTGTGAGTGTCATTGGCCAATACAAGAAAATACTGATTTCATGCTAGCCAGTTTCCTGCTAGTAAAAATTTGCATATAACACTGCTTATGTGACAGATTTGGCAGTGCTGACTGCGCAACTCCTGTGTTTCAAGTGCTTTGGCTTGTGCTGTAGCTACAAAGCCTATGAGTCCCGCACAGATCATTTTTCCAACGGAGTCCATCTTCCTCCTCGCCCTCAAAGCTGTCTCGCGCCCACCATGGCTCGTGACATTCGCCATCCATACGCAGAGTACCGGCTTTTTCTTCTTGTTTTGTTCAGTTCGCCTCAAAAGCGCAGTTTTCGCCCATAACCCGTTCCTTGGTTCGAACTAAGCGGGATCGAACTATCGACCGTTAATCCGACGTAAAGCCGGTTTCGCCCATGTAAACGCCCCTCGCCGAGAGGGTTAACGTCGCATGATCCGTTCCGATCTTAATTCGAATTATCCTCGGCTGCCCATGTAAACCGGGTTATGTCCACAAAAAGACGTGCAGGCAGCTGGGGTCATATTTTGTTCCACAGAAAAATATAGATGACGAGTGGATGTGTTCCACCAAATGATGCAAATGGAAGGTGGGTGCAGGTGTACTTTCCTACCTAACATTAGAAAAAATCATTGCACACCATTCAGTCGTGTTTTTGTTTTTTTTAATAAATTTATCCCAAATGGTTTGTATGGGTGACTTCGGATTCAGAGTATCTGCTAAGCATAGCTTGTTGCGTGTACCCCGAACCCACCACCCAAGCGTGCCGTCCAGTTCAACAGATAATTTTGCCTCCGCCCTTTCGCCGGACAGGAATGCGGAGGGTTTTACGTGCCGTACAATGCTGCGACACGGCCGCCTCGGGTCTGGGTTGAGCCTCGTTGGCCAGTTGCCAGCTGGCCTTTCCGTTTCAGTCGGGTCAAACAATGTGCCCACTCTGGGACTCGTACCCAGTGCCGCTGGATTACGAGTCCAGCATCTTTCCCCAAGACCACGGAGGCGGCACATATCGTAAATAATCTCAAAACAGGTAGAATCATGCTCCTACCTTCGAATTTCAATAACATTGATGGCGGGCTCCCGAGCGCCGCGCGCACCGCAACGCCTGGACTCCCCAGCGCCGTTTCTGCGTTGCCGTTGCGTAAATACAATATTTCTGCTTACTAAGAATTCTACAAAATGTACGGGACCAAGGTAAACCATTCGTCATGTTTAAGGCGGAACATATCGTAAATAATTTCAAAATATATAGAATCATGCTCCTACCCTCGAATTTTAATAAATACGATGGCGAGCTCCCAAGCGCCGCACGCACCGCACCGCACCGCACCGCCTCGACTCCCAAGCGCCATTTCTGCGTTGTTACGAAAGCACAATATTTCTGCTTACCAAGAACCATAAAACATGTACGGGACCAAGGTAACAATAATAAAGCAACCAAAATCGTTTCTTATCGAGTTTAGGTACATTTATGAGACACACAGGCCAGAATAGTCCAGAACATATCCTAAACTAGCCTAACCTAACCTAACCTAACCTAACCGGATCAAATTTCATGGATTCTTGTTACCTTGGCCCATTGGTACATTTTCATGGTTCTTGATGCTGCTTGATGCGCGGTAATGTTGTGACCCGCGTAGTAATGTCGCCGGTGTCGCGGGTGCTGTGTGTATGCGGCGCTCGGGAGCTCGCCATCGTAATTATAAAAAATTGAAGGTAAGATCATGAATCTACATGTTTTGTGATTACTTACGATATGTCTTGCCTTAAACACGACGAATGGTTTACCCTGGTCCCGTACATTTTGTAGAGTTCTTGGTAAGCAGAAATATTGTATTTACGCAACGGCAACGCAGAAACGGCGCTGGGGAGTTCAGGCGGTGCGGTGCGCGCGGCGCTCGGGAGCCCGCCATCGAAGTTATTGAAATTCGAAGGTAGGAGCATGATTCTACCTGTTTTGTGATTATTTACGATATGTCCTGCCTTAAACACGACGAATGGTGTACAATGATTTTTTCTAACGTTAGGTAGGAAAGTACACCC